CTATGTTTGTATCCTTGTAACCCCATCTGGTGGAATGGGCATTGAAGTCTCCAGTATTGTGTGAGATGTTCAGAATGTCAAAGTTGATACTATTCTGGGGTGGGTTATAGACTGCATACATCTTGAAGCTTTCTGGGGTGGATTATAGATTGCACATACCTTAGGGTGGTTTTGACATTTCCAAACATTTAATCTGATTATTTCACATATGTCTAACACTTATGTCTTGTGCCGAGCCCATACTCTTGATTAGATCTTAGTGGTTTTGATATTTCCAAACATTTAATCTGATTATTTCACATATCTGTGTCGAGCCCACATACTCTTGATTAGATCGTAGTGTGAGGTGAGGCCTTCTATTACTCCAGTCAGAGGTCGTAGTGTGAGGTTAGGCCATCTTTTACTCCAGTTAGGATTTTCACATTTGTCTTGTGTCGAGCCGATACTCTTGATTAGGCAGTGTGAGGTTAGGCCATCTTTTACTCCAGTTAGAATTCCAGTTGCAACTTGCCGGTATTTAGGTAAATTCTACAGGGTGTAACAACTTGCCGGTATTTAGGTAGAAGGCACAGGGTGTAACCTAAGGCCTTCTTTTACTCCAGTCAGAATTCCACTTGCAAATTCCTTCTTTTACTCCAGTTAGAATTCCACTTGCAACTCGCCGTTAGAAGGTACAGGGTGTAACCTGGGAATTGGTATTTAGGTAGATTGTACAGGGTGTAACCTGGGAATTGGTGGCTAGGTAGAAGGTACAGGGTGTAACCTGGGAATGGGTAGTAAGGTAGAAGGTACAGGGTGTAACCTGGGAATTGGTAGGACTACATAGTGTCATCAATGTAGCTTCCATAATTGTGAAAATGTCTACATCATAGATTTGAGCTGGGAATTGGTAGTACTTCAGTTTGTCATCCTAAATGTTTGCTTCCATAATTACTGTATTTCACTCTAATTGTGAAAATGTCTACATCATAGGTTTGTAGGATATTCTGTACTTGGCCTTTTTGTCCTGTGACATCCCTCCAGCATTCCACTGGAGGATCTGAAGACGATGTTATTGGCAGCATTCCACTGGAGGATCTGAAGACATTGTGATTCGCCCCTTCCACTGGAGGATCTGAAGACGTTGTGATTCACCCTGACAAGCTGGAGGAGCTGAAGACGTTGTGATTCGCCCTGACGAGGGTGATTTCTCTTATAGCCTTGTTTCAAGCTAATCATAATAAATAGAAGACAAATCAAATGCCGAGTGATAGACTTTTTGCCGTACGAAGATACGTCATCCAGGGTTCACCAGGTGGAGGTAATTCTATCGCGCACCCCATATCTAAAACACTTATTTATATCAACTGGCAAGCGTTTTGATAGTTATCATTAGCCCTTTAGCTGATCTCGGGCTTCATATAAGGGAAGAACATCAAAGTGGGAAAAATTCAATTGGGTGGGAGGGGGGTGGGCAGAATAATGATTCTCATAAGTAAAATAAACAGACAGGCACAAAGGCAGAGAAAAGGGAAGATTAGTACTGTGGAGGTGTTCGAATATGACATTGTGTGGGGTCATGATAGTTAGAAGTGAGAAGTCAACTACCGGTTTATATACTTTTTGCAGTATGAGTATACGTTGCCCACGGTGCACCACATGGAGGTAAGTCTATCCCTCACCCCATATCTACAACATGTCCATCCTATCGCCAGGTGCTGAACTTTCAAATTGTTACGTTTTTAAGGGTGGAATATTAATGTCGCTAAATATAACGGCCAAGGTAAGAAGAAGTGCTAAGGGTATAGGGGACGTGAGGGTATATATTTGGAGAGTAGATCTTATTGTTGGCAAATTTATCTACTGTTGACATGGTAAATACTGACATTAGGCCAGTCCCCCGCAAAGTCTGATCATAATCTAATGAAACATGAGAAAAAGAAAAAAAGCGAGACTATTATTTAAATTTTATTGCGGTATTATATTTTGATGAAAGGGAAATCGAAATAATGGACAAGTCCAACATTTATTTGATTTGAAGGTCCTATATAGTACGTCGAAAATGTATAAGCATCCTCCAAATAATTTGATTTTTAATATAGCTTTTGGCTTTGGATCCTTGTGGATACAGTAAATCCATGCAAATACACTAGTTGAATAAAATATGACTTAGGTCAAGAATTTGATACATCATAATTAAAGCAGTTCTTATCGAATAGAAAATTACGTATTGTCAAATAACTTTTATTTTTGGACATTATTTATTCGACCTTGAAATGGCTAAAATAATTACGTACACTTTTCAAAAGTCCTCTCATCGTGTATTTTCAATATACTTGTTGATTAGATTTAAAAGCAATGACCATTTTATGGTATTTTGCTTCACTTGTGATAATATTTTTATGTGGATTGTGTTCTGGAAACAGTCGTACATATTTAGAATTTAAATCAATCGATAGTCCAAATAATGATACATCTTACTTAGTACGTATTACAGCAACAACGGAAAGAGAAAAAATTTTTTATTTGATCGGAAGCTCGGACTCTCCATCAGCATTGTCAGTCATGATTATGCGCGGTAGTCTTAACTCTCATGTCGACATCAATGCTTCACTTTTCTTTGCGAAGCATAACAATGATTCGATTACTACTACTGAAATAACGGAATCGCACGGATTCCTCATTTTTAATGTAATCATTCACTTGTTTTAAATTTGCATTGTTATTTTTTGTAGATATGTGAATATGAAGATACGAAGGGTACTGCTACATTTGATAATCATGAAAAAGCCATCTGCCGAAACTCGGGCTCAAACCTCATGTGGCATTTTCTTAAACGTGATTCGAAGTGGTCCCCTGATTTGGTTGTGCTTACTTTCCAGTCTCGACGATGGGATCCTCCTAATAATGCTGAACATAATGGCGTAAAGTTTCAGGTTTGATAAATTTATTGAGACTTTGTTCGCCTTTTCTGCTACCAAACATAACTATTTAAAGTACATCTGCCTTCAGTTTACAATCTCGAATGAGGATATTGACGAGGTTCTACATGTTCCAGCGATACGTGGCGTTCGGATTAGAATGGAATTTACAGAACAGCTTATGAAACCTAAATCGCGTCTAGGAGTTGGAATGCTTATCTTTACGAATTCATCAATACAAAATAATCAGAAATTTTTGCAGACTGGCACCTTTAATTTTGGAATGGAATTGGAGCCCGGTAACTTTTTAGTAAGGGTTTTGCAATTTCATATTTGGTTAATAAATTATGCAGGTATATTTGTCAAAATTGCTAAGATGGGACTTCGAATTTTCCCCAATCCTGACTTTCTGATGATTAGTGTTTATTGTTGTCTTTCGATTTTTTTTCGATATTTAATGTCGTACGTTTTGAAGACTACTAATGTCTGTTGTTACTTTGATATATATTTTCATTAAAATAGTTTATTTTTCGTTTTTACAAATCGCAATTAGAACGCTTAGAAAAGAAGATCTTGTGGAAGTAGTAGTTTGCTACACGAATAAGCCATGGTTTATCTACACTAATCTTTCTCAATATCCCCTTAATAACATGGGAAGTCAGGCGTATGGTGTGAAACACATTTATTTGTGCCATGTGTAAATGACACTTAGTCATAGCAATATGATTTAGAGTTTGTTAAACAATTCAGTGACGATTGATTGGTGATTGTCTAAAAGATCTCTGTGCACGCTACCGTACTTGCTCTGTACCTCACCTATGATTGTGTCTGAGAGCGCATAATTTTTTGGAAGTGAGTAAACAAGGAGGAATTCGTTTACTTTTCTCCCCATTTCCCATGCTGAGATTTCTATCTCCTCACTTTTTAATTTGCCCTTAGCCACTATGTGAAGAACAGCTAGAAGGTCCATTGAGGGGTGGAAATGTGATTCGAAATGTATCATGTTATCCAGCTTTTTTCTTAAGTATCAGAGTTATTTGGGGCAGTGTTATGTTTGTTGCAGGATCTGTTACCAGTGTTGGGTTTGAATTGAAGGAACCGACATTTTGATAATTAAAAGCACCTTTTATCGTTGCGTTCTTAGAACTGCTCCCTTCCATTATTCACGCGCATAACTTTTTCCCCCATGTATTTACTTACTTGTTTGCTTGGCTGCACTATTCGAGAAATGAGCTTCATTAATTGAATTTTCATGACATCCGCTTAAGGCTTTCAAATGGAAGTTTCACGATTGAAACCCCTTGTTTCATTGTTTCTTTTCTTGGGTCGAAGTGGTTATTTCTAAGATGACATTTCTCTCATATATGTTTTATTCCCCCTTAATAGGTAAAGTTGTTTAAGTAAAAAGGTCCTTGTGACGATTGTAGTGCCTGGATTCTCACTGGCAGGCAAAATCTTTGAAATCTCTTGAGACATGTCGACTTGGGTATGATTGACTTCGCTCAGATATTAAGGTGTCTATTCTGTATTTCCAAGCGCTTGTACTTGTCGCCAGATTGATTCAGGCAAACTGTGTGCTCTAAGGTTGCCTGGGTACTTTCTCTACTATTGTAGCCTGGTTTTTCTCTCCCTTTTTTAGTCCACCTCGATACAGTTGGACAAGCGAGATCCCCCAGAGCCCAAGCCTCCAAATGCATCCCCAGCCTACTTATTCTGGCGAGATGTCTGCTTTGTTGATGCTGAAGACAGATGGCATTCTGGACGTCGAGTGGTTGCCTTCCAGTCAGTTCTACCGCATACTCACAAAGAAAACCAACACGTCAATCGCTCACTACCGCAAATCATTTATGGTGCGAAACGCTTTAACATTCATCTTCGCAATAATGACACTGTTGCTGTAATGGAAGAATGGTTCGGTTTTGGTAGTCCTTTGGACGGTTTCTATGCCAAGACAAACTACACTGACTGGTAATATCTACTTATTTTTTGTAAATGCTTTGCGAATTCAATGAAATATTAACAGGCCACAAGCGACACCAAGTAGAAGTTAGTAAGACGCGTTCCTATTTATAATGCCTAATTGAAATGCGAAAATGGCCGTTGAGTAACCATCAATTCTGTCAGTAGAGTCAGGTTAGTTTTAGGTTTCTGTTCTCAGTCAAACTGGTGATCATCTTTTAAACTAATTGGATACAGCAGCCTTGTCCAAAAGTAGATGCCTAGCAATTCGAAATATTGTAAGAGTACAATAGAGTACCTTAATAGATGAAAAATAATTGGAAAGCATTCCAATTTTTAGACTTGAGCACGATCTACAACTGTTTTTAGCACTTCAGCTGTAGACTATCCTGACTCGCACGTGTGAATCGAACTTTAATACAATAAGTACAAACAGTGTAGCCCACTGGCTACAACCAGCCTAAAATCGTCTCGTGATACAGACGTCCAGTTTTTTTTCTGAGACATTATTTTACTTTTAACGAGACTATTTACGGGAAGACTATAAGGACTTGAGCGATGGGGTGATTGCCGACATATTCGGTCACATTGAGAAGTCCTTTTAAATTAGCCTGAGATGTGAATTGCCCATCCTTCGACGTTCCTTAAACTGCGGCTTTGTTTATTTCTTCTGGCATTCTACCAGTATTTTAAACGTGTCATTATCCACATTGGTCACAAGCATTTGTAGATCGAGTAGGTGCTTACTAAGATATAGTGGAACCACAATGTTAGAAGTTCAAGATCTTCGATTCAGTTCTTCGTTCATATCAAACTCGACCGGGGGGGGGGGGTAAAATTTCAAGCAAGATTAAGCTTAACTGGGGTTTCTGAAAAATGTTACAAGGGGAGGGGGGAGATGGTAAAGGGTTAGCATTTTCTCCAAAACACTTTATGAGAGAAAGGTGAGTAATAAATAGGTCTTGACGTGTTTACGTTAGTACAATGCGGGAATTGACGATGGCTCTAACTGATCAAGCGATATAATTTATCATGAAATGCAATTTTTTTTCAGGACGTTTGTTATGGCTCTGGGTCACCTTCCGCCTGATAATTCGCCACATGCTGGACGTCTTTTTGCGCCTCTGATTATGCCCCTACTAGTTCTTGTGGTAACTTTGGCTTACTATTTCGGTCGTAGACGCTTCTGTCCCTTGCCAACTGCCGATCTTCCCGATATGACGCAGCCACTTATTGATGAAATAATCGATGACGGTGGTAACGGTTATCCTGGTTTTGGTGATCCGTGTGTTGAAGAAGCTTGCGAAAATGCTACTGAAATCCCCTCGCCAGCGCCCAATTCCTACGGAGCTATTTAAATGAGTTTGAGATGTCAGTCTTGCCAAAGGTTAAAGCTAATTTATGTACACTTTGTTTCGATATTGTATTGCATTGCCAAGAGAGTAATTTGCTTGTTATTTTAAGTTCACTTATTTGGCTTTTGAGAAAGGGTAGTACTTCAGTGTAGTGGTAGAGTTTTTGGGCTCCTCTTCTGAATTATGGTACCAAACGAAGTGGACATTTTGAAGGAAAAAGTGAAGCTGTGAAAAACGCAATAGAAGAGCTTGCAAAATATGTTATGAACGTCTGACTCGTGCGAACAATTTTTTTGTTTTCTTTCCAGACATTTCAGTTGAATTTTATTTTTACTCAGCGTTATTTGCATACGTTGAGGGTGCACACACTTCATCTATTTGATTTTGAGGAAACGATAAGATAATCTTATGGCACTTAGCAAGCCCTATTTTAGTAATTAAATTCACATAGTGATTTAGGATGCTGCACTAAAACTTAAAATTTATTCAGTTAACTAATTAAAATACCATTTCCCTGGTCAATAAGTATGTAGATTCTCGAAATATTATTTATTACGCAAGTAGCATGCAAATTCGTTAAATCGTAGGTCTCAAATTCAAAACTTATCACTGAATGTAGCGTTAGGTCGAACTGGTCAATAGCACATTACCCGTGATTCTCATCTGGAAGTTTACATTAATCTTAAAAATAGTGACTGTAGAACGAAATTGAAATTCATATTTCTTGCTTTCCTGATTAGTAAACATGAAGTCGTAAAAGGATTTCACATTAACCTTTTAATTAATAATGGCATTTCTGTTTAGCATGGGTGCAGAGTGATCGCGTTCACGAACTTAATGAATAATATTTTTTTGCCCAAAAGTTGGTTGAAGGTTAATTTCAAAAATTCTTCAAATCGGTTTTAATTGATGAAGCTATTTATTGAATACCCATTCTCATTGGTTTGAAATTAAATGATGTCGTTTAGCTAAAATAGGAAATGCTTCAAAAAGGTTCAATTTTCATAAGAAGGGAGTTAGTACTAGGCGCTCAAATATGCAGATTGCACAAATTAACCCCACCCTTTCCCATTCAGAATAGTCGCCATTTATCCCATTGGTTATGTACCGCGCATATTACGAGTATTTCAGCCAATTACCTCGCGACTTTTGGCAAACCCCGTGGGTTGAATAAAAAAATGCTTTGGACAATTTCTAACCAGTGGATGTATTTAGATTTGAGTTTGATGTTGATACATCGATTTAGGGACCTGCACAATGACTTATCATCACATATCACCTAGTCCATTAGTTATCATTAGCCATTTAGCTGACTTCGGGCTTCACAGGAGGAAGTTGTAAAAGAGACAGACACAAAGGCAGAGAAAAGGTAGGATGAATACTGTGGAAGTGGTAGAATATGGTTTACAGTGGGGTCATGGTAGTTGGAAGTGAGAAGTCAACTGCCAGTTAATAAACCTTTTTGCCGTATGAGTATACGTTGCCCAGGATGCACCACGTGGAGGTAAGTCTATCGCTCACCCCCCAATAGGAAAATAAAGCCTGCTGTTATTTCCATCACCGTGTTAGGGAAGCGTGACTTCTTATTGGCACAGTGAGTGAACTAACTTCGGGAGAGAATTGACCTTGAAAGATTACTCCAGATATTTTTACTTACCTTGAGCCAGGATTATTTTTATTTTCAATTGTATGAAATAGTTTTTTCAATTAAACTCTAATTTAGCTTGCTTTTGAAGTTGGCAAAATCAATGCTAATGTAGTTGATAAGTCCCAGGAGCAACTACCTGAATTTGCCCACGATTTCACGATAACAGAAGAAGGTGTTCGGTAAAATGGCATTGTATTGAACATTTGATCAAATCCGACTTCTGAAGTGCCAAACTCGGGAAGCATTAGTCACGGGGTCATATGTCTGAGTGCTTGGCGGAACGTTCAATCTTAAACCAGCTGAGTACAGAAGCCGATCCTCCAAGTGTTTGGCCACGGATTACTACGAACTTCTGTCGATGTGCAGGTCAAGACCTCATTTATCTATTCTGCATCTCATATTTCAGCTTAAAAAAAAACAAATAGACTTGCGATTTATCGTCACTGTAGTGAAACTAAGGTCAAAATACCACAGGTCTCCGAACGTAGTATTTATCAGCTTCAACTTTGAACATTCGTGTTCAGTCAAGTGAAGGTCGTTTAAGTGACTCAACAGTACTATGAGAGATATTGTCAACTCTGAGCATTTGTTGAGCCTTTTTAGAGCTGCATTTTGCTGTTCCTTTTGACTAGAAATGGCAAACTCGGTTGTGTTAAATATTAAGTGTCCAGCTGTCGGTAAGAATTGGCCACTGATTTGAAAGTAATGCCTCATGACCAGTGTGCCAACGATATGGTCGGTGCATTTCAAAAGCTTAAGCATGCCAACTCATTTTTTCATTATTTAAATCGTGGATATTATGACCTTCGATTTAAATGTGCTGCCAAATATATTGTTCATTTTTAAACTTGAGCCCACGATTAGTTAAACAGTTAAATAGCCTCTAAAGACAAGATATTTAAATTCTCTTTAGATCTCAGTAAGGAACACCACTAACTCACCTAGTAAATTTAATTCTTATCCGCTGCTTTAACATTATTAATACACTTCTTCCAAATTAACTTTTTTTCTTGATAACATACTTTCAGGAGAAAAAGGGGCGATTGAGTAGGAAGATTGAAAACAATTATACAATTTAACCTATGGAATCACTGTTGCCCTAATGTTAAAATTTTAAATTTGACTTAACGATTCCTGGGCAGCATTGTGGTGCACCATCCACGGTCATGCTAACTCAATGCAATTTTTAATTCTAAGTCCAATAACAGATGAATGAGGCAACGTACATTATAATGAGATGTTTACATTTGTCAACAGAAGAGTTGGGACTACGACAAGGGCAATATTAGAAGTGGACAATTTTTCCACTATTAAAGCTTCAGGTGCGTCGCCAAACTACTTGAGCCATTGAACAAAGTACGACGTCAGTGCATAAGGCATACATATTTCAAAAGAGACCTTGAACTTGATTATAAAATAAAATGTACTTTCAATGCTTTGTTGTCTTTAAGCGAGTCTCTAGGAGAGTTCACATTTTGTGTTTGTACTTGAATCCATACTGGATTGCCCATGCTATTGCCAATAAATTTCACAAGGTTGCATCTTGTAAAAGTCCCTAAATCATGCGAGCAGCAAGAGAGTTCAATAAGATTGGAAGCAAGTGGAGGTTCAAACGGAAATATGGTGATTGATTATAAAATATACCGTAGTTTCAGTGCTATCACCTTTCGAATTCGAGTTATTAACGGTGATATTCCTTTCGACTTCTGCAATTTGAATGATGAAGGTAAACACAAATTCTGTTGAATATGTCTTCTTTGCTCCACACTTCTAGCGCATAACTTACCACTAATGAGCTGGTCTTAATTGATACGCTGAATGGAAAATGCGGGTGAAATGCACATCAATCCGTTGCAGCGATTTAAATGAGGTTATGCTTTCCTTTTTCTTTCCTTAATAGACCATTTGAAAGTGGAAAAAGATTTCCCGCTGAATGTGTAAAATCAATTTGAGGCATAATTCAATAGAAGGGAACTACTCTTTTTTACCATACTCGCAGATTTGGAATTAAATTTGTTTGTACTAAGTTGTGGCAGATATTAACTGTCCTCCTCCCAAGCCTTTATAATGTATTTCTACCAACCTACCAGCTAATAACTCTCAAACTCTTATAATTGTTTTTTTAATCTGGCTAATCTCTTTATTCAATAATTAAGCAGTTTTGAATCGCTTAAAATAAATAATGTACAAGAATGCAAGAAATTAACCTCGACAGACCTAAATCAGCAATTATTTTAAAGAGATAGGTCATAACTTGAAATTTCACGGAATTTGGTTTACTTTGGAAGTCCTTAAGGAATGAATATTATAAAATTGTTTTTTTTTAAATAAGAAAGAAATAGAGACAGTAGTGGTGGAATCGTTTTTAAGGAACAATTTCTTTCGTTTTGTAAAACATGGTGAAAGCATTTTTTCCTAGGCTCGCTAACATAAGTAAAATGGTTAAAAAGCAGAGAGCGATATTAATTCAAGACTGGACTAAAAAATGAAAAACTTTTTTTGCCCTTGCAGTGACCGCCAATACTCATTTTTCATGCATCTATTGTTTCAAATTTACATGATTATTTTCATTTATGTGCTCAAAAGCCTAAATATATCGCTCTATGCTGACTGTGTGCAAATAAAAACTTGCCTGGTTTTTCTGTGTATCACAAATCGAGTTTGCTTCACATTCCTACGTGGGCGGTATATAAAATGGCAAAAAAGAATGCGTCTTAACCTGTGCATCTTGTCAAACTTAAACTGAGATGGTTTCTCTTAATGGCGCGTATATTGATTGAGGATACAATAACTCAGAAAAGACAAATTACTTCAATTTCATTAAAAGTTCTAGTTTATTGAGTCCGTATGAAGTATCCCTGTACAGATTCACCCTATGTTTAAATGCAGGCTTAAAATTGTATACACTGCCATTCAGATTCAAGTGGAGATTGTGTCAAAGGTAATTAGAGATTGTCCACCAATCGAGTTAGTTTCTTGGTTGGTTACGCCAACTCAAATGATCAATACCTTATTAAAGCCAGGCGCAGGCTGATATCATTGCCAAAGATATTTCAAAATTGACATTCATTTCAATAACTCGAAAATTGGGTTTGCAGAAAAATATTGGTTGGAAAATATTTTCTCGTTAAGCTGAATGAGAAAGTATAATATAAAAGGGAGTATAACTTAATGTCCATCAAAACATTGTTTTTCTTATAAACTGTATCACTACCTTACACTTTACAATGTTACATTGAAAACAAATAAATGTGGAAATATGACTACCATCAAACTTGACTCATCTCAACCTCCGCAATTCACATGATTTTAGTGATGTGAGTTTAGTGATTTCCCATTCCACTGAACTAATCAT